AGATAAAACGATTCATTCTCATTATTTAAGCGTGAAATAAATGTTTTTCATAATTCCTCGATGCGGATCATTTGTGGATCAGTTCCATTGCAATTTTACGTTACGTTTCTCTTAAAATATAAGGCGAAAGTCAGACAACAACATCAATAGCTTATTCAAATTTGTTTTATCGGAGTTTGAAAAAAACTAGCGGGTGGGAAAGGAAACCGCTTGGAACAATCGTGGTGAATTACTAGGTACTCTGCATTTCCATTGACTGTGTTATTATCACGGCGATCGTATTTGATTTGTGCCGTTTTCTCTACGCACCGGTGCAGACTAATACTGAAGAAAGTACAAGGGAGGAAGGACGGTTTGATCAACGGCTCTGTAATCGAGATTCCGTACCGGTGCGGAAAACATACAAGTCACAGCTGAACTCACTCAGTATTTTTCTAGAATTGCGAGTCTTCAATTGTCGTCTCGTCTAGTGCGTTTTCAACTATGTAAAACGTTTATTGTACCAATTTGCTACATGAAGTGGACACGATTCATATTAATTTGCATAAGGTAAAAACCGAGTAAGCGGTATTTGATGTGGCTCGGTAACCAGCCATCGCCAGTGAGTGATGTGCTCCTTTCGCGGATGGTGAGCAACGAGCCGTGATCCGCTAGAGATACAGCCACGGTCTGTTGGCCTAACCTTGGCCGTATCCCGCATATACCCCGACAGATCAGGGTGACATCATCATCGAAAGAATTGTTCTAATGGTCCGTGTGAGGCCAAGGCCGGATTTTCGATCGATGCTAATATTACACAGCGGAATAATAAAAAGGAAAGTAAGGTTGATGACCCCACCGTGGACGCTCACAGACAGTAGTAGACTGATGGATTTGTCCGGATTCTTTTTTTAGCTGCCTTTAATGTGGTGTGCTGAACCAGTTTCGAGATTTTGGTAATACCGGAGAGCCGAACTAAAGCAATACTGGTCAATGAGAAACGGTCTAGTAATAATAAAGATTTCGTTATCCACTCACGAACACTAGAGTAGGTATTTTTGCACTAGTCTAGTAATTTTAATACGCACGTATACGTTCTAATGGAACTTGTTGAGCGAAACTTTCTAGTGCTTTATTTTTTTGAAAATTACTATCTATCCGCCAATTTTCAGCACATTGCCATTCATTACTACTGACAGTTTAATCCGAAATTATCGGCAAATCTTCAAAATGTCCTTAAGGAGTTTCTGACATTTAGTATGTCAATTAAACTGTTGAAGAAGACGCTTTACCGCGTACTGATTAATTAACAAGCATTACATTTAATGCATAGGTCATATCATATCGCAAACTAACTTATCAATGGCATCGATTCATCGCGCGGATTGTGGTAGATTACAGTCACACCTCGATAAAGTATAACGCATCAACAACTCATTAACGGCGGCATTCCAAACGCATAACGTTATCATTCATCTTTATGCTTAACTGTTCCTAACAACCGAGCTGTGATCTTACCGAGACGGCGACGGAGTTGCTGGGTCCGACCCCTGCTTCAGCAACAGAGTGCTGTCCCTCGGGCACGCTGAGAAAACGGCGGAGGGTGCCATATCCAGACGCTGATGCCACCATGGCTACCATAGTTAATTCACAATCACAGCACAGTAACCACTGGTTCTCCTTGTGACATCACTCGCGCGGGCGTGTTCGATAAGTTCGCGGGTAACGCGCGCACGGCGACCTGCGCGCGCGACGCGTTTCAACTGCACGCCCAACTCAGCGCCGCGCTCGCGACCCCTACCACAAGACCGAGCCGACAACTTCGGACAAACTTAGATAAGCGCGCTAGTTTTGTTTGCACTTCCGTCCTAAGCTTAAGGTATTTTCAAAGTTCTGTATATTTTTTTCAATCTTATTCTATTTTGGTTTATCAGATATACTGTATGATAAAACTTTGTTGAGTACTTTTACAAAGTATTACTTAGTCCATATCTTATAAAAATAAATAACAAGACCAAGTAAGTAAATCGAAATGTCAAACACAGGACTTATAAGCATTTTTTTAATCCATGGTAAGACTGTAAGAACTACGTAAATAAGTATATAAGAACCGCTAGGACCAAATTCAGTGAAATAACTAGGTACTTAATACTGATAATATCATTAATTTAAGTAGACAATCTGTGAAGCATCTGAATCTCAAATTGCAAGTACAGGAAACTCTATTAGATTACAAATAAAAAAGGTTATTATGTGAATTTGGAGTGCCAAGTTTAGTAGGTTTTATCGTTTAGATACCTAATTAGAACAAGAATTTTCTACCAACATTATGTAAAAATAAATTAGGTTTATTCAATTACTTTTATAACCAATATCCAAAAACATTTTACCTGCCCAAGTTACTTACAAAAATTCACAGTTAGAATTTTGTCAAGTTATTTACCAGCGGAAACTGTTGACCTTTCAAAAAGAATGTCTCAGTGAATATTACATGAACACTGACTTAGCACACAATATGCAATGTGACACATTTTCTCTTTGCTTACATTATGGAGATTGACAATGCAACACCGAGTAAGTATACTGTCCAGATACAATACAGAAATACTTTATTCTACACCTCTGTTATTCCCAGTATGGGTGGGTAGGCAGAGGTGACACTTAAAAAATAATTTTCACATAATTTTTTACTGTAAAGGCCCATTTCACAATGTCAATTGCAATGAAATTAACTAAGGGATATACACATGTTTTCCATAGGACATTATGTTAAAGTAGCAGTCAATGAAGTAAACAACAACTTCATCAAAAATTGTGGACACATGAAGCTTATTTACTGCAAAACATGGAATGCAAATCCAGACTGTACTATTACTAAAATTTTCCAAAGTCAATTTGAAAATACATTATTATTTTGGTTGATCCATTTCATAAACACAAAACTTTATGCTCAGTTGTAATATTACAACTACAGAAGCTTGAAGCCGTTATGTTGTAAATTATTTCCAAAATATCATAAACGAAGATAAAGTATGCTTTGTAGATGTTGAACAGTTTAAAAAGTTATGTCCATAACCAACGTGAAGTTTAACACACATTCTACTAACTTTCCAATGAGAATCAGTCTACAATAATATCATGTAACAACACAAACAAAAATACTAGCAACAATCCTGCATGATACTTGAATCAATGATTTGTGTGACTCATAAACTTGGGAGTTGCTAACTAGTTGAGTCACAAATGAAATTAAAATTTGTTACAAAAATAATTAAAAACAAACAAATGTCCTTGCACTATTAATAACTTATAGAATTACAAAAAATTTACATTCATTTGACAGTCATGTAAATTACAAGGCCTTAATTAAACTGTCAAACACCAAGCGGTCACCGGTGACCGCAACGTATTGTTCTATAATTGTGTCTATAATGACGGTACTCGACGAGTTAAGTGCAAGAGGCTATAAATAATTCTGTTAAACAGCTATTTACAATAAAAACTGTAATGTATTAATAATTTAGAAAGTGTAATCCAGTTTATATTGTTCATGTGGAGTATCAATACAAAAACATGGTTTCGTAATAATACAGGTTGGATCACACAATTTATTAAAGTTTTTACAATATTATTGTCACATATGATATGATAAAGTAAATGTATTATAATAAATCGCAGGACTATTTATTTTGCTTATGTATACTTTCTCATAAAGGGTGGTTCACCCTTAGAACATACATATTCAAGAACATTCCAATAACATCGAGACAGAAGCATATAAAAGGAGCAAGACAAAGACTCACATATACATAATTGTGTGTGATATGACATATAAGGCTCATAACAATGTTCTAATGCCAATAATTTATTCAGTTAGTGTGGGCAGCCACCTCCAGCGCCCACTACTTGCCTTGATACGCTTCTACACTATCAAATCCACCAAGTTTGACAAAACCATACATTTAGAACACCTATACACAATTCTTTACTATTTAACATCTTCAGAAAACATTACCAAGTGCAAAACATGCTTGCCCAAACTTCACATTTTACTATAGAACTCACTGCAGTTGGTTGGAACATTCCAATGCAAATTTCACAAGCACCAAGGCAATATGAGTAAGCCAAAGGTGAAATTATTAAAAACCGGCAATTATCTGAGTAGGACTCACCTGTTTTGTGTCCACACAGTCAGTGGCCTCCATGTTGGCATGTGATCTCTCCTGCCTCTCCATGACTTAGGAAACATCAGAATCTCTTATACCATTTACAAGGTGTTATAAAAGCACACAATAGAATACTAAACATAACAATCGCGATGGGCTCAACAATTTTTAACGAAACAATGTCAGCGATTGCACTTATCACGTACTGCACTCTGTGTCCGTTACACCTATTTAATCTCGATTTAACAAGCGCAGTCACTGTTTTAAACACATTTTAACCATTTCAACATAATCACAAAGCTTCAGACTTGATTTTTTTTTACTAATAAATGAAAAATACAGTTGATCACCATCTTAAAAATTTTCACACATTCCGTCATCGAGAGGCCGACTGACGGTCGCTGCCCTACAGGAAGTTTCATTATACGCATATACACTTTAAAATGTCAATCAAAACCCAAAAACGGTTGAATTGTAAGCGATAATATTTTAGGATTACTAGTAACTTTATGCTTCATATAACCATAGTAGGTTATTTTACTCCTTTTACCTAAGGTTTCTTTTATTCCACTAAATAAAATGTTTTAAATTTTAAATATTTGTTTGTTGGAAATGCCGTAGAATGAAACGTCTTTATACAAGTCCAGTTTGCCATCTATTGGTCTATTTTTGTACTATTTGTCTCATTTGAATTGTAGAAATACTGACTGATCTTTTCCGTTTAGATTTCTAACTTACTTTAGAAATAAACCACACATATGACACATATAACTAATTTCTTCTTTCAAGTAAAATTGGAATATTTTGTCTTATAACCAATTTCTTGTAAATAAAGAAAATGAATATCATGGATCAAATATATTTATTTTTAGAAATTTACATGCTATCATTAATGAACAAACTAAACGTGTTATTGTGATTTGTCAAAAGTCAAAGTAAGTTGTCATTTTGTTTGAGGTTATGATTTATAAATAAAAATTGCTATTTTCTTGTATTTCGACTATGCCGCGAGACAAAAGTCGGTATAGAGATAGACGGAGTTCTTCATACAGTTCCGAGTCATCCTACGATCGGAAAAGATCAAAAAGTAAACACAAGCGCAGGTCAAGATCGAGAGATCGATCGGAATCAAGTAGCCATAAAAGAAAACGGTCTACTTCACGGTCCAGACACAAAAGAAGAAGTTACAGTAGAAGCCTGTCCAGGGATAGATACGAGTCGAAATCTAGAAGACGATCTTCATCAAGACCTCGATCGAAGCGGGACCGCTCACGATCGTTGTCGAGTAGCCGTAGTAAAACTAAGTACAGTAAGAAAAAATCAAAGAGGTCGCGTTCTTCCAGCAGTCGGAGTGCCCGGAGTAGCTCATTTGATATTGGTAAGCATATTTTTATAACTGTTTTAATTATAACTATCATTGTTGCTGTCAAGAAGCATTGTGTAATAATTTTTTTATTCTGAACAGAATCTTCATTGTTATAGATTTCACTACTAATAGTTACATAGTTACTTACTGACTATGTTTTTAAGTATATAAATATTTTCAAATCATCATGGGCAATATTATAAAGAAGTCAAGTTATTTTTGTAAAAACTTAATATGTATACCTATATTACAGAGCGCTTACCACAAACCAAGAAGGTAAACCTAGATGACACAGAAACTAAATTGGAGAAAGCAATCAAAGCTGCAGCCGCTGCAGGATTGACTATGACAAAAATTCCCACTTATGAGTACAAGGAGGTTGAAATCAAGGAGGATATGCCAACTATACATGACAGGAACCTTTTAGCAGAGTTGAACAGTGACTCATTTGTTCAAAAATCTTTTACTTCTTCAAAGAATAAGAAGCAAACACAAAATATTGTGATAGACTTAAACTCGCAGACAGTTACTGTACCTGAAGCGGAAATAAAGATTTCTAGTGATGATTCCATTATTGATTTTGATGTAAGTATACTAAGCAGTATTTTTATGACTTGTAACAAGGTAAAAGTAATGATATAGCATTTGGTATGTTGTCTATATCTTGTTATTCTTATTAGAGACACTAATTAGTATATATGTGTGTGTATGTATATGTATGCATGTATGTATATGTATGCATGTATGTATGTATGTGTATGTATAGGTATGTGATGTAAGTACCTTATTTATTTATTTATTTATTTCTTCTTCACAAAATACATAAGTGAATGGCGGACTTAATGCCTTAAGGCATTCTCTTACAGTCAACCATAGGGAAGTGCAGAGAAATGAAGTGGTTGATGCGAAGCCAGAACACAATTGAGAAAATAAAAAAGAGTTATGTAATATGTATACTACACACATAAATAACCTATAGAATAAATATATTAATATAATATTTTATAAATCAGTATAGGACATATACATACCATATAATACATACTACTAAACAAATACTTATACCTACTGCATAAATACTACAATATATTATATATATATATAAAAAAAAAAAAACGTTGTCAGAATAGTTTCCTCAATTGTTTTGAGTCTGCCAATGCTTAAGTAAATGCTCACGGACTTTAAATTTAAAGGATTAGTATGCCTAGAATCACCTCCACTATCATTCAGTGCTCCATTCACCCAAAGGTTGCCTGGTAGAGATCGCTTTTAGTGATAAGGCCGCCTTTGTGCCCTACTATTCTTTGTTGTAACTCTACATATATGTTTATATTACTTTAAGATGTACAATAAAGATTATTATTATTATTAATTAATATTATAGTATAGGAAAGTTGATTATGCTCTCATATCTCATATTCCAATTTTAATTGTGATGTTTAATGTGGTAGGTACTAAATAGTTTTAGGTATATTATAAGGAATTGAAAAATATTTCACATCATGCAGTGAAAAACAAGGATGTAGTGAATCAGCTTTTCTTTTTATTTATTATATAGCCAGCCTTGTTAGCCCAGTGGTTGCAAGTGTGACTGCGGAGTCTCGGGTTCAATTACTGGGTTGGGCAAAATACTACTGAGTTTTTAAAAAAAATCTCAACAGTAGCATGGAGGCTGGAATTGTGGCCGGTATATGGCAATACGCTCAGCCCCTATTACTATTACATGGTATTAGTACCTAGTACTATTAAGTGGCATTAACCCGTATATCCCGGCAGACGGCGAGCATGGGTGGCTCCCCGTCCGACCAGAAACAGACCCCAGTAGGGGATGCCTAGCTTCACTGACGGACAGACTGTTATATATTTCATATTTGTTGACGTTTCAAAAGTACCAAATTATGGTTTAATTGAAATAAATGCTTTTGAGTTTGAGTTTTGATGATTTTCAACAATTTTCAACGGGTTAAGAGCCGTAATGTGCACCTCTGCTTACCCCTTCAGGGATAAAAAGGCGTGATTTTATGTTATATATTGTATTAACTTCTGTTGACTTTTTGCTGCAGAAATATACCATTAAAAATATTATTTTTGTGTAGTATGCTTAAGCTGTGTGATTATGTAATACTGGCTCGTTGTAGCTTTGCCAATTCTGTACTCCTTATTATAGTTAGGTACATGTTCTATGCCCAGGCACAAGAAATTAATTTTCATATTATTGGATTTCAGGAAATACCAAGTGAAGTAGAATTAAGAGAGATGTGGATTCAACAACTCTACCAATACAGAAAGAAGATGGTCAAAGGAGAATAATTATAAGAGAAAAAAATAGTGTAATTTATTTTAATACTGGTATTATAATAATGATTCCCACATTCTGAGCTTTTTATTTTAAAAATAAACCTATTATCATTTTTTAAAAACATTGCATAAGATTAAGTTGTATTGCTAGCATGGTTAAAAGAAGTAAGAACAAAATTGAACCTTATTTTCAAGGAATAGGAGTGATTATTACAAAGTATAGTTTGTTCTAACAGTTTATTAGGAATAGTTGGATATAAACTTCACATTCTAATAACAAGTAAAGGAGTGCTGCAGTTCAGTTACACATGCTTCCTCAGTAGAATCAATAAAAACAAGTAACAACCTAAAGTACTTTTATTGAACACATTAACATAACCGGTAGCCGCAACACACAATTTCAAATGCTTTGTAACTACTAAGTCGCCTATATTTACAGTGACGATGGCCCATAGCCCCGAGTCCCCAGTGGTCACTTTCACATGTTGTTCCTCTCTCGCTGAATACGACTGCTGTATGTTCGGGACACCAGGTTCCACGCATCCATATACCTGTCCATGCACATTGCAATACATTTCTGTTCAGAATTGTCCAGAGCTGTTCCAGGTTTATTGATGCACTTTTTGAAACATTTTTCTGACATTTTCGTCAATAATTCCTGAGCGTTCGCTATGGCAATTTGTTGTTTCACCTGATCCATCAATTCTTCTTTCTGTGCTCCTGAGAGCGAACCAGTTGATAATGTATCCATGACTTTAATATATTAATTAATATTTCGTGGGATGATACAATTTACGGAATTTTGTGTTAATGACAGTATAACCTCAAATTTCTCAGTGACAGCAAGTGCGAGAGCAAAAGCAAAAACGACCGAAGGATAAAAGCTATGTTGCCATTAAAGGACGTAAAATTTCCCAAGTATATAAAAAAATGAATGAAGAAGAAAAGGTCACATTGGGCCTTTTCACCGTGTCAGTAATTTATCATAATGTGCAATGTAGAAAAGTAAATAAACGTATTGTAAGAGTAATTATGGTAGTGTGCTAAACAGATACTTTTTTTAATTTAGTCTTAAATTTATTTTTTCCTCCCTGACGTCGTTTGGCAAATGGTTGAGTAAGTACGAGATACGCTTTTTTATTGATCGATCACCATAAACACTATTAACCCTTGGTACCTCATATATACCAGACGACATCGATCGGGTGTTGTGTTTATTACATAGTTATACTGTTATTAGCGGTGAACAAATATAGATTAGATTACTTTTTTACATTCTTATTTTACAATCGGAAAAACAATATTTCTTATTTTTTTTTTATAATAAAGCTATTTAACTATTTGTACCTAAATAATCATCTCTTATGGAGGTTATGCTCTTGGTGAGATAATAAGTTTCAAAACTTTTCATTATTATGTTTGATAAGCGCATACAATTGTGTTTCTTCTACATACAATACATACAACAAAGTGCATACAATAGAAAAATCTGCACAGATATTCGTAATTACAACACACAACTTATAAAAACCATTCTGGAGAAAAACCAGTCCCTTAGAACCGCATTTAGAGGCATAGAAAATGCAAAAATAAACAGACAAATAAAGAAAAGATTTTCAATGTTTGTACAGAATGTTATAAATCCCTTTAAGCTGCCAGTAACACCCAAGCGCACACTAACAATATGTACTCATATTCAGAAAGCATCGCACTTATTACCGGCTATGAAGTCCATCAAGCCTTACTAAATATGAAATACAGCAAAACCCCGAGGAAAATGGTATTACCACAGAAACATTGAAAAAATGAGAACCATTTCTGTTGCCCCGTATCACCAATTTATTTAACTCCATATTATAAACCAAAAAAATACCCAAAAGCTTTTGTCACTCAAATATTATAATTTTACACAAGAAAGGTGACAAGGCAGATTTGGCAAACTATCGACCAATAAGTCTAATATCTCATTTTTTAGAAAGTGTTCATCAAAGTTATAGATAACAGAATATCTGGTACATTAGACCAACATCAACCGTCCGAGTGAGCAGGCTTTCGACGCGGCCTCTCTACAACAGACAACCTACATATTCTGAACCAGATTATAGAGAAATATTTCGAATTCAATCTCCCTCTATAAATAGCGTTCATAGATTATTCCAAAGCTTTCGACAGTCTCAGTCATTCATCAATATTCACAGCACTAAACAACCAAGACACCAAACCACCCCACCTATATCAATTTACTTCAAAACATTTACCATGAAAGTACCGCAGCAATTAGACTACACAAACTCGGCCAATCCTTCCCTATTTCTAAGGGAGTCAAACAAGGCGACCCGCTATCTCCGAAACTCTTCACTGCAACCCTTGAAGAGGTCTTCAAAAAGCTTGCGGCGTGCTGGAGTACAAGGGGGGTGGTCATCGGGGAAAAGAGGTTAACCAATTCGCTGATGACATAGTACTCTTCTCTTATTCAGCAGCCGAGCTAGGCAATATGATAGGCGATCTCTTGGACTGAAGATGAACATGTCGAAAACCAAAATAATGACCAACAGCATAAAATATAGGTTGAAGGTAGATGGCGCGGAAATGGAATACGTCCAAGAATATATGTATCTTTGCCAACTAAATTCTTTCCAAGCGAGATAAGATGGAGAAGTTGCTAGACGTACCAAAAACGCCTGGAAGAGATATGGGTCCATGAAAGATCTAATGAAAGGTAATCTTCCATTAGCGCTCAAAAACAAACTCATGGACGTGTGCATTTTACCCATCACCTATAGCGCTCAAACTTGGTCTTTGAGAAAACATCAGAAGTCCAAAGTCAAGGTTTGCCAGCGGGCCATGGAGCGGAGTATCTTAGGAGTTCGACGTCGGATAAAACTAGGAACACCACGCTGCGCTCCACGACTAAAATCGCTGACGTTCGCCATAAAACCGCAGGCTTGAAATGGAATTGGGCTGGTCATGGCTGCTGCATGTCAGACGAGCAGTGAGCAAAACTTACTACCGAGTGGAGCCCACTCAACGTCAGTAGACGTTGCGACAGGCCCAAAAGGAGATGGCGGGACGAATTAGACATCTATGACAAGAATTGGCCGCAAAAAGCTTCACATAGAAAGGAGTGGAAGGAGGGTAACGAGGACTTTGCCCTGTAGTAGGACCATCATGGCTGAAAATAAAAATAAATAAGTGCATACAAACGGAAAGTTTTCAAAGAATTTGGATAGACAACTTATCAAGAATATATTTTTATCGAATGTATGTAGCTTTACGAGTTTACGTAATTCGTTTTATTAGAATTATTTTTCATTTATATCAGTATGGGCAGTGTTGATACTGAGAAATTTGTGTACAATTTCCTACTGAAAAATATACTTATAAATTTAAAAATGGACTTTGGGAACAAAAATTTTTATTTATATGATACAGATACCCAAAAATTCGGACGGATTCCCAAAATAATCACTTTATTTATTTAACTTTTTTTCTTAGTACATAATGTAGGTATTCTTCACATACAAAGGTGGGCTTAATTCCATATGCGTTCTTATTAGCCTATGGTATTGCACTATAGCTTAATACGTAATAATTTATAATAATAAAACAGTTTGATTTAACTAATAGTGTGCTGTAGTGTATACGATAGTTTTTTATTTTAGTGACTGTGTTCACAAGTATTGTTTGGATTCTTCAACAATATTGGGACACTTTTAAAATCACGGTAACCCCGCCGACTACATTGTCTATGACCTTAGAGGTGCTCCAGTAAGCGGTCCTAACATTTTTACGGTTTTTAGGGATTATCAACACTAACGTGAATTTAAGTCGAAAGACATACTTGTTTCGATATCTGTCAATTTGGAAGCCATAGACTATAGACTATTTATTGCATTGATAAATAAAAACAAACAAATAAAAGTTTTGAAAGCAATCTATCTTAATTAAAATGGAAAGTGAAGAAGATTTAGCTAGTACCTTATCACACGATGAGTTACTGGAAATCACGCAGTCTTCTCTAGCAACCTTACTTAGTAAAGACTCGTTCTTGAAAGATCTTCCTAACGATATTATTATTGAAGAAATTTTGTCACAGGTAAGTATATTATTCCTTAGTAAATTATTAGTAGATGAGATGTAACTTTTCTTCACAATAAAGTTCTACCTTTTTTTCGCTATTTTAAAACATTTGTATAACTACTATGTATTATAATTGATAATCCCCTATACTTACTACCCTGTCGCGGAGAACCTAACGAGTACCCGGGGCTCCAGCTCGACGTGCAGAAGAAGGAACGGGGTGGTTTTTAGTCAGTAAGAGTCAGACACTCCCTCTCGCCTCACCCAGGCGGGAGAAGTTGTTCGATGATTTTCCCTCTTAAACAAAAAATACTTACTTCCCTACCCTTTGATGATAAGTAAGGTTTATCTTTGGCTGATTTAGTCCAGAAATTAAATAATGTAATTTATAAATTATTTTATTGCAGATAGCTGTAGAACATGGGCAATCAATCACAATTTTTATATCAAGAGAAAGTGAGCCAACCTTAAAAGTTATTGTAAGCTATTAACATTTTTAAATTCAGTTACTTTTATTCAGCGTTACATACTATTTAAAGTTGAATATATCTATGCAGATTTCAGATATGACTGTGTATAAAATGGTCACACTTTATAAATGTGTGACATGGAATCCTTATTTCTGTGTTATTTTACAGATACGTCAAGACGCTAAGGTTAGAGATTTGAAAAAAGCAATTCAGAGGCATTTCGAATTATATCAGAAGAGAGCTGGGATCAAAACTAAGATTTCATGGAAATATATTTGGAAGACTTATAATTTGAACTTTGATAGCATAGCTTTAGATGATAATAATGCTAACATACAAGACTATGGTGTTACAAATAAAGTAACGTTAATATTTAAAAAGAGGAAGAAACAAAAAAAGATTGTTTAAGTGAGTGAGTGTCACTCGTCATGGGAGTGAGGTTGCCAGATGCCCAATTACCCTCCCCTTCCCTAATCTACACAATTCCTGAATCCCCAACAATCCTCAAACTCCTAATCCCCAAAAGGTCGGTAACGCACTTGTAACGCCTCTGGTGTTCCAGGTGTCCATGGGCGACGCCGATTGCTTATCATCAGGTGATCCGTCTGCTTGTTTACCGGCTTATGCCATAAAAAACAAAAAAAATTGTTATGTAAGCATTTAGTTTATTCAGCATCATTTTCAACAACGCCTTTTATGCACAATAGTCACATAGATATTGTATTTAATATTCTTATATATAGAGCAGTATTAGCTAAGAAAATCTTGTCTATTTGTTTTCAATTACAAAAACTAAAGATTGTGTAGCTATATTGTATTTTTATGAATTAGAGACCTTTTGAATCTTACTTAGGTCATAAAAATAAAATCATAATTTCTAATTTTCTAATGGAAGTGAAAACATTAGTAAATACTATGTACTTATTTTAGGAGAGTGCAGCTTACTATCTCAATATTTATACAGAATTCATGGATGTAAAAAGTGTAAATAAGTCAATAAAATATTATTTTCAACTAAAAGCATTTATTTATTTCTTAATTCTCACTTACAAATAAACAAAACTTGAATACCCATACATAATATTTTATATAGAATTCTGCCATAAATAGTGTCTTTAAAGAGGCCAAATTATAATATTATAAACATAATTAAGGTTTAAAGAACATAACAGTACCTAAACAAGATATTGATACAAATGAAAATGTTGTCTAGACATCTAACCAAAACCAAGCTATAAATTGACCTCTAAAAATATTTTCCTACCATAAACATGGATAGAATACAAGGATCTTAGTGATAAAAATTCCACTTTCCCATAATTTATTAATTAAAGCTGCTCGAAGTCTGGCTGCGGAGGTGGTTCCTGTGGGAGCGGCTCGAAGTCCCCGAGGCTGTAGTGTGGTTCCTCGTGACGTGGAGTTGCTAAAGGACGGTCATATGTGTCCTTCAGTAGCTCTTGGTCATGCTGGGAGACAAAAATATAGTAAGAAATTGTTGTTGAAAAAAGAAAATACTGCCGAAGTGTGGGATAATCTAGTTGTATAACAATGAAATAGGAATATTTTTCATCCAGTAATGTGGCAGAACTAGTTTTTTTTTTACGTAGGTGTTTTGTATACCTGGGTTTTTGACATAATGTCGTTGTAATTAATTTCACTAGAAAAAATCCAAATGTTTAATAAAAAGTATATAAAGTAACATAATATCATTATTAAAATAATTACCCAAACAATATTTAAATCTGTAAATAATTTAAGAATATTAACAATAAATTCTTTGATATATTATTAATAGAAACTTATGAGGTAACTCGAGTGTGTTACCCAGGCCAGATGTTGTCAAAAATGGTCATTTGAATCTAATAGATAATTAGTTTTGTACCTATTTGTTCTTTCATCGGTAGGTCGGAGATTCTGCTGGGGTAACGTTTTTGGTTTTGCTAGATGTTTGAAATGGTTAAGCGGATTCTTATCATATTTTGTACATGCTTCTTAGGAATTAGTTTAAATTTGTTCTGCAATAAAAGCCAAAATAATACGTAGCTTAAAGGTTATTTCATTAAATAGAAAAACACTTCAATTGGTCCCAGCACTCTCAATAAGAGCTCTAAAGACTAACCTTTAAACTTTAAACGTTATTTTAAAGTTTGTAAGTGCCTTCAAATGTATGTGAAGTTTCATTAGTATCCTGTAAGTATTGAACAAGTTATGATGATATTGAGTTCTTCACGAGCACGGTCTTAATGCCCGCGGTGTTATTTGGCCACTGGATTGGATATCATCATAACTTGGTCAAAGATCTAGCAAAACCAAAAACGTTACCCCAGCAGAATGTGGAATATCTTCGCAACCGACAAAAGAACAAATCCTTACTAATATTATAAATTGGAAAGTGAGCTTGTTTGTTTGTTCCGCTTTCGCGCCGTAACTACTAAACCGATTGCTTTGAATTTTTGCAGACGTAAGGTTAGAAGTCTGGTTTAAATAATGGGGTACTTTATATCCCGGAAAAATTTGATATTCTCGAGCGAAAACGAAATTATTGGTATAGATGGCGCTGTGTGTGTTGATATATGTCACATAGGCTACTTTTTTGTGACGCGAGCGAAACCGCAGGTAAAAGCTAGTACAAAATAAGGCACAATATTTACTTCATCTAGGCAACGAACTTTATAGCTAGTAATTATTTAAATATTCCCATTAGAAAGAAAAAGGTCTGGCTGGGGTAAGGTTACCCCAGCATGTTTTTGTGAGATAATTAAAAAACTACAAGCGTAACATATTTAAAAATGTGCGCAACAATTACAGAAGCCGCACAACTAATTATCTATAAGATTCAAATGACTATTTTCGACAACATCTGGACTGGGTAACGCACACAGTAACTTAACAGTATGTACCTGATCAGACTGTAGTACTGACGGGGGCGCCAGGTCGTCGAGCGACAGTTGTGTGTTGAGCACTGACGGTGGAGCGTAGTCAGACATCGCTGCTACACTGTCCACTGGCTGCTGCAAATAGTTATTTTTAATCGTTAATTACTGACAAGCAATACCTTCTCCATTATGGCCATTTTGATGGTCCAGCGGATGTTTGTTGTCATCATCTTGGTATAAAAAAAGTTCCAATGTCCAAATTGTCTTCACAAGTGCTTGCTGATGTTCCATATACCACATTTAAATTAGTACACATATCGACATTTTGGAACGACCACCCAGCTTCACTGACGGGCTGACTGACAAACAATTATTTATTTTATATTTGTTGACGTCTCAAAAAGTACCAAATTATGATTTAATTGAAATACATAAATGCGTTTGAGTTTGAGTTTACAGATTTCTAATTTTGAAAATCTCGACAGTAACATGAAAGTATGAAACTAGTAAAATTACTAAAAAAAAGAGTTCAGAGAAAAATATCTGTTAACTAGTTACTAGTATAGTCTTCATGACCATTGTCAATAAGTTTTAACAGCTTACCGTGTCAACAGCAGGTGGCGTCTCTTCAACAGGCTTGGCAATGTTGACCATGGGCACGTCCTCGGCGCCCACAGTGTTTGCCCGGGCATCTTCCTCGGAGGCATACGCAGACTTGTGGTCACACATCAACAAGTGAGTCAACATGTCCGTTCCTGTGGATTAAGTGGGATAAAAATGTACCTAGATGTAAATATTAAAAAAACAAATTGTCTAGAACACGTCTGTTATATATGGCATTAAAGGATCGGTCGAAGAACATCGAAATAAGAAATATTATAAAAAGTAATAAATATTTAATATCAGTATTAAAAAAATATCACTAAATTGCAATAAATCGTAATACATATTTAATTAAGAGTGCTTGCCCTCAACATTTTTAAGAATATCCTGTAAAAATATCACGATCAAAGTGTTCGTGTATACGTACCAATATCAGTATTGTACCCGCAGACGCAGTGCGCGCGGCGCGGCGCGGGGCGCGGCGCGTCCTCGAGCGAGTGCGGGCCGGCACAGTACGCGCTGTGGCGCAGCATGGCGCGGTAGCATGACGTCACGTACGAACACTTCGTGCAACGGGTCGTACCTCTATACGCAGGATAAACCAATTATTAGAACAATATTATACTTCGGATATTCTCAAAACATTATTATCATGAGTGTTGTGAGCCTGTGGGCGTTCTCTGCATAAGAGTTTGCCATATTTTTAAACGTTATGTGGGTCGGTTGGATATGGTAGTTTAAAAAAAATTAAAGGTCCAGGTTTATAAAACATAATACTTTGTAGTAGCGGAAAAATCCTATAAGCTATATCCTATTAACGGCATCGCTACCTATAGAAGAAATCCAAATCTGTTTCATACAGATAATAATTATATGAAATTGAACACCATAACACTGACTTACAATTACTTACAAATCAAGTGACATTTACAATATTTTCTCACTTGTGGAATATAGTAGATACTCACAAGAAATGTTGTTCCCTCTCGAGTGGGGTATCACACTCCCGACACAGCATCCCGTCCGGCAGGACGAGTGTCAGGCCCTCGAACGTGTCGTCTATTGTGTGGTTGGCCGAGTCCTTCACTGGAGGACGAGCCTTGTTCTGTGTATAAAAAATAATATATTGATAAATAAGGTGACGAAAATATTATAATCGAATTTTAATAATAATTTGAGTGATTTTAATAATAATTTGAGTGAATTTAAAGTTCAATTTATCACTTGTTTCACTAAACGAATACACTTTCTCATTTACAAAATGAGATTATTTCATGAGGTAAAATAATAAATAAAGATTTATAATATTACACTCACTCTAGGCTTGGTAATCAAGTGTTCTTCGGAGCAGAGCGGTGTCGCGCCTTCCACGGTAATGTGATCACGCACTTGATGCTCTTTCAGTTGGCCTGTAACAAGGACAAAACATTAGAATCAGTCCTCCAACTCGAAATCTTAAATAAATCTAGAAGAATCTATTATTAATGCAAAAACTAAATGCTCCATCGTAGATCGCATCATCGCTTACCACCCGGCGAGATAGTGGTCAAATGTCGGCCCATCAAATATAAAAAAAAAGATTCAGTTATTTATCTTTGGAAAATCATCAATTTGGGCGACGAGTACTATTGAAAAAATAACATTTTTTCTTATCCTAATAGAAAATATCCTTTGCACCAAGAGATACCTAGTTTGTTTAGTAGGTGGACTATTATTGTTATGAAACTCACCAAGATGTACAAACTTGAGCACGCATCTATTGCAGCGTACTTCCAGATCCTTGTCTTGGTGCTGCTTCAAGTGATCCAGGTATAGCACCACATTGGCTGTTAGTTCATAGCCGTCTGAATATACCTTTATCACCTGTTAAATAACAAAATATCATTTAAATAGTATTTTTGTCAAAAGAAGATATGGGTGGCCTTATACATTTTTATTCATAGACAAAATTATTTTTTCCGCAACCTAAACGTACTTAAATTTATGGACGATTTTGACAAAAGCTTGACTACACTAAAAAATATGTGTGAATATGCTACAATTT